GGCTTGTCATTTTGTGCCCTCTCATACTGTAGGTCATCTCCAGCTTGTTCTATCAAAATACCTGTTGCTTGCACTAACATTACACAAGAAAAATCAAGATCCAATGAATAAGGAAATGGCTCACTGATTGTTAATTAGCCTGCAATTTATTTGAATTGTAAAAAAGAGCACTTTTTTAAAAATTTAGTTTGGTGATTCTAGGGTTTGAAATAAGGGCTTTGTCTTGATAGGAAAGGCCTGTACTGCTGAACCATACCTCCCACCCTGGTTTTGTGCTGGTTATTTTTAAAATAAGGTCTTGATTCTTGAAGTCCAGGCTCATGTCAGGACTTCAGTCCCCCTATTTTAGGCTTCCTATTACAGCTCAGATGACAGATGTATGTAATCATATCCAGCATCTTTCCATTGAGGTGAAGTTTCATGGACTTCTCTGCCTAGGCTATCCCGGAACCATGATCTTCTCAATGTCAATTTCCACACAGCTTGCACCACTGCACCCAGCTATTTGTAGAGAAGTGGTCTCTTGAACTTGTCAGGTTGGGCTGACAATCTCAGCCTCCTAAATAGTTAGGATTAAAGGTGTGTGAACCACCATCACCTGGCAAGAGAATACTTTTGAAACTTTCAGGATATAAGGTTTATTTTGTTTCTGTGTACTCTTTGAGTGTACTATTATTCTACTGAACTTTCAGGATATAAGGTTCATTTTATTTGTTTCTGTATACTGTTTGAGTGTACTATTATTCTACTGGCATGTCTGTATAGAAAACTTTATCTTATACACGGTATTGTATATTATTATATCATATATCACATATATTATATCATAATATATAATTATGTAATATAAAATATAATGTAACATGTTATATAATTATATGCAATAATTATATAATACATTGCATAATATATATTATATATAAGGCTTATCTCTGAAGAATCTGGATCATAGTTTAAGGTCCCAACTGGGTCTGTCCCTATTTCCCTAATTGTTTCTTGATTCTGAATTTCTTGGTTAAGAAATCTAGACTCCTCCAGAGACAGAAGGAATTCATCAGGCTACATCTTGGTCTGAGGAGTTTAGAGGATACTCCGCTTCTTGCTCCCAACTCCCAAACATTCCCTTACAAACCTGCTCTAGGTACCTCTCTTTCAATCTCAGGACCTAAGCCTGGTCTCACTCCTCCTGGCCTATGGTAGACTATTAAGCCACAGAATTATGGCAGACTTCATGATAAACCATGAAAAGATTTTAGCCAAGTTTTTAGTTCCCTGCCTAAAAGAAAGAAACTTTTGTGGCATTTCCACTCTGGGGCAATGTGGGAGAAACCTTCCTAGTGATTATTGGTGGGGCAGAGTTATCAGTTCTCTGTGAGAAACTTGAAAGAAGGTTATCTCTCCTCTCCCACTTCTGCAAGATAGTGGCCTCTGCAGCTTTCAGAAAACATTATTTAATTTCGACTTATGAGGCATCAGAATACATCTACCTCAGCAATAACAAGCGTCAGCATTATGAAGAAATTCTCAGAAAATAATAGAGAGGTGAATTGGATGAAAGTAAATTATATGCATTATGGAAATAGCATAATGAATTTTCTTTGTACAATTAATGTGCACAATCAAATAGTTCAACAAACTAGTAAAACAAAATCCTTTAGCAAATGAAATTAGTATAATTTTGATTAGAAAACAACTCTTTTCTGGGTTCATTAGTGTTAATAATTAAATACATACATAGAAGAAATATATACATAGAAATTTTCAAATGGTGTACAAAACAAAACAGTGCAAACTGTTACTAAAAATTTAGAAAAGAGCAAAGCATTGGTGGTTCATGGTATAAGCCTACCTGTTTAGGAATCTAAGATCTAAAAGATTGTGGCTCAGTGCCAGCTGGGGCAGAAAAATCCTCAAGATTGTATCTCCAAAGTAACCAGAGAAGGCCAGCCTAGAGACGTGGTTCACATGGTGTCAGCTGAGTGAGCATGAAGCCCTGAGTTTAAACTTCAGTATAAGGAAAAAAAAATCCAGTCTTAAGTTATTTATCAGTTTTTGGAGCCTGTGCATATAATATTATTAATGTGGAAAGAAATTCCATTCCAGGAAAAATAAGCAAGTGTTAGGTCAAAATTCAACTCAACTATAGATGAGGCAAATACTGGTTAATTGAAATTTGATTGAGATAATATAGAATTTGAAAATGAAGGGAAATATATGACCACATTAAAACTCAGGTTGAGTACGTAAAATTCTGACCAACTTTTTACTTCAAAGATTTTATTCAAAATGGGGGCTGGGGAGAGACTAAAGATGAAATCCAAATGTGGAAGTTACACAAGTTTATAAGAGTGAAACTAAAATTTCTGTTTTATCATAATGGTTATATAACAAGTTCCGCAATACTCTATTTTGAAATATCATTTGGTAGCATATTTTTTCAAGTTGAACTATTGCAGTACCATAACACTGACTAGACAACACTTGGCATTGATGATTAGATAACAATGCTGGTCTCAAACATAGCAGTCTGTTTCAGTGCATTAACCTCAAGGAAATAGTTCACATAGCAAAGCCATCTGACTGACATTTGGTCCTTCTAAATTTCAAAAAAGAGATGCTGAAGACGTTTTATTGCATTTTGCAATGGTGGTAAACAATTATAGAAAAGTATTACTTTCTAGAATGTTTCCATTACGGTAACATTATTTTCATTTTTTTGTGTATGAATATACAAGACACATACAGTGGTACATCTACCACACTCCTTAGAAATAAACTTCTCAGAACCCAGACACTGATGTATAACACTCCCTGGTCAGTTTCTTTAGCCACTGTCTTGAATTTTTTTCTTCCTTTTTTTCCCCTCAGCACACTGAGGATTGAACCCAAGACCTCACTCTAATGCTAGGCTTTTCTACCACTTGAGCTATGCCCTCAGCCCTTTTGGAGGTTTTTAGGTTTGGTTTTGCTTTATTTTTTCACGTTTGTTTTTAAGACAGGGTTTGCCAACTTTTCCCAGGCTACATTCAAACATAGGATCTCTTGACTGAATCCTCAGTGTATTTGAGATTTACAGGTGTGCACTACTAAACCTGGCTTGAATGTTTTTAACGATTCTAGATTTTCTTTACAGTTGTACTACATTTGCACAAACCTCTCAATAGTATGTTAATCTTTTAAACTTGCCCTGCCTGTTTTTTTTAGTTTGAAATATTTGAAACATATTAAAACAAAAATTGTACAAATGTTAGAGTATTCTTTTTATGTAACTGTTAGCTTTATAACCTTGTGGACCAGTATACTGTGTAACTTATATACCTGTGTTGTTGGTACAAATCATCAGTTTTGTTCTCAGTGGCCTCTGGATTCAGGCAAGCTAGATCTATGTCTCCGGCAGTCTCCTAGAAAGTCAAAGTTTGGATGTGGTCAAAACTTGTGTTCTGTGCCAAGGAGTAGCTCTGGAGAGTTGGTGCCGCACACTTCCCTTGAGGCTCCAATCATTGCCTCCTTATTCCTGTGAACTTTTCTACTCTTCTGAGTTGAAGGAGCAGGCTCTTATTGTAGGCTTTCGTTGCTTCTAAGCAAACAAGGAAGGAAGGAAGATATATAACAGTCTGGAAACCTACCTTCACCCTAGTCCCTTACTGTTAGCTCAGGCTGCCTTTTGCCCCTTACTTCCACCCACTGCCAGTTAAAGGTAGCCTTTGGCTCCCTCACGTATTTCTCATTCATTTTTGGTTATTTCTTAGACTCAGTATCTCCCTCTAACTTGAATTTTCCCAGCATTGTTATTGGGAATTAGGTAGGAATAGCAAGAAAAACCAGCATTTACTAATTTACCATCTTTAAAAGAAGCCAAAACCCCTGACTCATCTCCTAAAACTAGCGAAAATTAGCAGCTGTTCACTGCTTTATCAATTTTGCCAGGTCATAAATTAGAGGCAAACTGGATTGAAAAGAGAAGGTACACACAAAACTTCTTGAAGGGGAAGGGGGAAAGCACGATGGGTACTTGATTGTAAAATGATTCTGGTTCTGCCTTGACACTGCTTAGGATTTGAAGTTTATATACAAACCTTGGACTTAAATATATAAAACACAAAATTCCAAGAAGTGTGGAGAAAAATGGGAGAATGCAATCAAGAATCCATTATATATCCTCCAAAATTAAGAGAGTGAAGGAAGGGGAAAGATGGATGAGAATGTTGAAAGGGGTGATATTGATCAAGATATATTGTACTCAACTTTGGTGGGGGGACGGGGGAGGATGGGAAGGGATGGGAAGGGAAAACAAAGGAGGAGGCTACAATCCTTGATAAGAAATGTACTCATTATCTTGCCCATGTAATAGTAACCCCTCTGTACAGTATTTTCACAATAAAAAAAGATATATTGTATTCATAAACGACTTTGTTAAATGGCAGCTCCTTTGGACAACTACTTTAAAATAATTTTTAAAAATTTTAAGTGTGGACTAAAAGGATTGCAGTTGGAAATGACCTTATTAAAAGGTTGTCTTTGAATGTGAAAATGGGAATTTGGTGCAGAAGATACAACTAGCCTGACTCAAATGAAAGGTTTCCATTGTGAAAACCGAGCAAGTTAGGAAACATCATACTGGGGAAGAGTGTTTGTTATTGGTAGTGTGTATGCGTGCGTGCGTGCGTGTGTGTGTGTGTGTGTATTTGTGTGTATGTATGTATGTATGTATAGGTGTAGACATAGGGAAGCGGGAGAAAGAGAGAGAAAGGGAGGGAGGGAGAATGTACATACATATTCTTACATGTATATCATCTATACACCCATGCATATATATCATATCATATTGAGTGACTAAATGTATGTTGTGTAATTTTACATATAAATCAATTCAATAAATATTTGAATATGCTTGAAAGTGAATTTAATCATTTTGATGTTTAATTTTTAACAATAATTAAATTAAAAACCAGAATTAATATTTGAAGTATTTGTGACAATTTTGTTTTTGCTTTTTGTAGGCCAGTTGGAATGCCAAAAATGGAAAAAGTCTACTTACATAATCCTAGTTCTGAAGAAACTATTACTTTAGTATCAATATCTGCTACAACATCACATTTTCATGCATCATTTTTTCAAAATAGGGTAAGTTTCTCTGCTTAAAATTATTTCTCCTAAATTTGAAATCAAAAATTGGAATTTTTCATTATTAAATAACTTCATCTTGCTATAATTAGAATCTGGTTTGAATGTTTCTTAGATTTCAGTTTGTCCCCTTCTGCAGCCTGGTACTAGGCACTAGGAATTGAACTCAGGTCTTTGTGCTTGCTTTAAGCAAGTGTTCTACCCCTTGAGCCACAGCCCTAGTCCTGTCCCATTTCTTAAGAATTACTACTTATACCCTTAAACACAGTTTTCTTTTTTTAAATTTAATTTAATTTTATTTGTGAACATACTGTACAGAGGGGTTACAATTACATGGGCAGGATAATGCATACATTTCTTACCAAGCATTGCAGCCTCCT